GTACGTCTCCTGCGTTTGGTCATGCGTCTCCCGAGTCAGATGCCTTTGCCTGAGCAACCGACACTAGAGATCCATGGAAGATCCATGAGAGGGAACTGGTTATTTTGGCTTCCAACCTCAACCACCAAGCAAAAAAGCAACAGGAACCTGGAAATCAAAACAGTAAACAGTGTGTTTGGCCAAATAATTATGCTGTTTCATTCCTGAGAAGTGTCCGTCGAAAATTGGGCTGCAGCTCACTGTGCATCTTGGCCACAGCAGGCTGCATGTCCACTGCATCCTGCACAGCCATCTTTGATGCTTGTGCAAACAATGGATAAGAGAGTCACTGTCACCACGAAGATCTGGTGCCACCCCGAACACGACGCGGGCGACGTGGCCTTGTCGCATTGTCAGAGCCTGGAAAGTTCCATGTTCTTCAGTCGCAATTCTGCTCAACTTGGAGGTCGCTACCTTTCTACATATCCAACCAACTACTTGTTTGCAGCACCTGAACCAACAATGCTTAAACAACTGGCTCTCCACTCAATTCAGACTCGCATTTTTGGGGAAGTGGATAGGCAGATCGGTAATGACTCACAAAACCCTCTGAAGCTGAAGGTGGAAAGTAGTATCAGGACTGCAATATTCTCTGGATTGGCAGGGGCCCAAGTCCTTTCAGACCAGCCAAGCACGTGTCATGATTGCGCCAAGTGGATTGCGCAATCGTCCTTAAAGGCGGAACGGGCACAGACAAACGGTTCAATCAACCGATCTGGGCAATTCACGCTCGACATGGCCAACTGGCACTGTGTCGAAATGAGTGGGGCTCCCTGATGTTCAGACTGTTTCGAACCATGCCAGAGGGAGGACATCTACATCTAATCGCTGCACAAACTGTATTGAGGACAGCCAGGCGTCTGTGTCAGATGCCGGACTAGCAAGAGTCAGTTGTGACAGTCTGTGTTCCTTTTCACCTCCTTGGCAAGACGTCATCTTGTTGGGGTGCTAGGAAAAAGGTTGGATGCTCCCTCGGCAGTTGATGTGGAATTGCAGCTACGGATGGATTGTTGTCAGTGTCTCCTCATAAATCAATGTTGCACGACTCCAGCACGAACAAATCACTATCACGAACGAAGTTCCTGGTACCTTGTGAAATGGTGCCGCTGTTGGGCGCGGATTTGGACTTTACCAATGACTCGTCGCTCGGCATTCAGTGAAGCTCTCTCTGGCTTAGCCAGGATTGGCCAAGTCCAGTATAATTACACGGAGGTTCCTGCAAAACATGGGAGTCTATAGTGGCAAAAGCGACTTCCAACTCTGTTGAAGTCTGAGTCAAAAAACTGAAATATTGACTATGTTTAGCTTCGGACTTCGCAAAGGCATCAAACCATGGCAGCCTCCTTGACGCCACCTCCGAAATCTTTCGGATCTTGTGAGCCGGGCCGGGGTAGAACTGGGCCAAGCGAGATCAAACATGATGCTTTGTAATTAATATCCAACAAAGTTTCGGCAAGGCATCTTTAGGATTTGCGGTGGAAAGAATGCTGCAATCACAAGGTGCCATGACTTTTGCGCGATTGAGTCTTGGAAAAGAAGAAAAGAAGGATCCGTGCAAAGAATTGGCTGCGATTTACGTACAACGTGGAAAAACTACTGCAGCAGAAAACGAGACAGGTTGGATTCAAAAAGCCAACGACAGGCGCATGGCCTTTGGACGGCCTGCTCCTCGTACCCATTGCGGGAAAATGCGACTTGGCCAAAGCCTGCACTATCACGACTATGCTTGCCTTGCGCGATCTTTCAAGCACAAGCCCATGAAAGCGAAACAGCGCAAAGCAAGTCCCTGCGCCAAAAGCCACAGCACGCCGCTCCACCAATGATGCTCATCCCCAGGCAGGATGAACCGTGCCTGCCCATAAGCGTTCTGGTAGGTGTGCAGCTGGAACATGTCCATGCCATCTAGCTCCGATTCGTCTGGAGGGACAAATGCAAGGCACTCTTGGAAAGTCATTTCCACACTCCAGCGGCTGTAGGACAGGCAGCTCACGAGAAGCTCACCAATGCCACCATCAAGGTAGCATGACATTTGAGGAGGCATGCCTAAGATGCCTCCAGTCACAAAGGCGAGGATGGAGCACGTGAATGGACCCATACTTGGGGGCAAACAGCAGGACACTGCAACCCCCCCAACCACACGCGACATAGGACACGAGGATGAAGGGCCAAATGTAGTAGAGGAGGGGCATGGGACTCATGATCAGGTAGCACACAACCACGTAGACCGCAGTTTGCAAGCACAACCCCAAGTCATGCACCATCAGTCGCCCGAGGAAGAATGCGGCCCGGTTCAGGCCGTGACTGGCTTCTCGCCAAAACATCTCCTTGCCATTGCTGAAGACTCGCAGCGAGTAGATGGAAATCAGGAATGCTTGGGCAACTTGAACGTTCAGGATTGCATTTGGGCTCCAAGTTGGATCATGGAACACATAGACGGTCAAAAAGCTGAGAAGGGCTCCAACCAAGGCAACGATCATCAAGAAGCTAAGCTCAGTGAGCCACCCACGGTCAAGCTCTAGCAGGGACACTTGGAGACTACAAATCAGGTGCCTGCAAAAACCGGGGCGGTCTTGACAATCTGTGTACTGGGCTCGTGGTCGAATTGCCAGCCGCCACCGTGTGACTGAGGTGCCAGAACTAGAAGACGAACTGCCTCGGTTTCTACTCGGCTTTCTTTTCGGCCACCACCACCAGCCGTCACAATCAGCGGAAGCATCTGACGAATCAGAGGACCTCTCAGGCTCAGATGGCTCAGATTCACTTGGATCAAAGTCTGGGTCTAGAACTATGACTCCAGAACCATCCATGTCCAGCACATGGTTAATGAAGTCCTTGCGTGTGATCTCTCCTGACCGGCTGGCGAAGTTCTGAGCGATTTGTCTGGCATTTTCCAAGGTGACGTTTTCTCCGGGGGCAAGATCTATGAGCACCTTTGTAAAATCATTCAGGTCCGCTGTCTGTCGGCCTCCAAGGACTGCCCGCCAATGTTTGTAAAGCTTGTACATAAGCGTCTCACTTCTAACCGACGCTGCTCGCTCCAAGGATATGGCTATGGGAGCTCGTTGCGGACGTGGATTCCGCTTCCACGCCTTCACGATTTCATCCGGCACGTCCTTCATGTCTGCAAGTTCACGGCCAGAAGGCATGACCTCTGCGAGGTTTTGCCCACAAAGGATGTCAATCATCCAATCTGCAGGGTTCATATTATGCTGCAGTCTGTAGCCCAATGCACTGAAGTAGCCCACTGCTGTCGTCGTAGGACCACAATAGGCCATGCGACCACCTGAAGCGAGCAGGATCACATCATCCACAAGCTGAAAAAGGTCATAACGTGGTTGATGAATCACCATGACTACCGTCACCCCCAAGGTGGCAAGGTTCTTGAGGTTCTGTACAAGTCCCAGTGCACTTGGGGAGTCAAGGCTGGAGGTTGGTTCATCCAAGAAAAGGACGCGGGGACAGGCTGCGAGCTCAATTCCCACACTGACCCGTTTCTTCTGGCCGCCGCTGAGACCTGAGCCTGTTTGCATGCGATTGCCTACTATGGCATTCTGCTTTTCAACTAGCCCGACCAATCCCAGCACATCATTTGTGACCTCATCCAAGTCTTGCTTGTTGCTTCCGATTGGCATGCGCTTGGCTGCAGAGAAGTACACGTTCTCTCGGACCGAGAGAAACTCATATGCGACATCATCCTGGGGAACGTAACCCATATCAGGCTTGAAGTCATCACGCTTAATTTCCTTTTCATGATCTGCATTTTGTTGTTCGGCATGTAGATCTCTCTCAATGAAGCTGACATTCTCTTTAACAGTCCATTCTGCATCTGTCACGCGCTTTCCGCTGATGACCTCCATGAGCATGCTTTTGCCACAGCCCGATGGCCCCATGATAGCGGTCAACTTTCCAGCTTCGATCTTTTGCTTTCTTTGTTGTTCATTCTCATCTTTTCCCGTCTCCAGGTTCAGCACTGCACTCTTCTCCTTCGTCAGGCACTCAATCTTCTTCCATTCTATGCTGACACCACGTGTTCCTCCTCTGGTTGCTTTCTGAATGCCTCTCAAGCGAGGGCCGGCTGCATTTTCTCTACTTGAGTGGTTCTTCAGCACTTTGTCAATCAGCTCTGTCGGATTTGATTGGTCTTCAAGCTGTTCTTTTTTTTGTTGTTGAAGTCCCTGTTGATCCTTCTAAACCAGTAGATGCCAATCAACACCACGACGAGTAAAGCAACCAAGGAGATCAGCCACCAAATGTCATTTTTGATGTTGTGTAAGGCAAAGCCTGCCTCTTCAGCGAAGTCTTCTGCAATGACAGTCTCATTCAAACTGCCAAACTGAGCGGCCACACAAAGGAGACAGGACCAAATGCCCAAGAGCTGCACGAGCGCCATGAGTTGGGGTGCTCCGGGGCAGTGCTCACTGCTCAATCCGAAATCCTTTGGGCCAAAGTCTCGATCTGATCTCTTGATCAAAGCCTTGCAACCAGTTGCGTTGCCAAGAGTTGTCAAAACTCAATGCTACAGTGCCTTGACGGCCTTTGACTTGCCGTCTCACCTAAAAGCAACAAGGTAAAAATCATGCCCTGGGTGTCTAGCAGGGTTGTGTTTCATTGTAAGCGCAACTGGCATGTGCATCCAGGACACATCATCATGAGGCTGGCAACTGTTTGGCTGTTCCAGGCATGCGATCACAGGAAATCTAGAATCATATATATATTTGTGGAATACCTGCAATCCAACGACATTCCAAGAGCAAGGCAATTCTGAAGGTTCCAAGGTGGAACATCGAGACATCTGAAGACCTGAGCGCAGCATTCAGACTGACAAATTCCGTGGTTAGAATGGGTTCTTCGAGATGGGTCCATTCGAATCGCATTCCGAAGCATTCCAAGAGGGTTGCCAGCTCGCTCTTTTTGCACGCTGATGTCAATGTGCTCTGTTTGGGTCTGTCCCATAAACAGCATTACTGTTGCTGCTGGGATCTGCCGGGAGTTTGAGACAGGTATGGTACTGTCTGCCCAGCTTCTATTTGGCTCTCTTGGGCCCGGTTCGGTTGTTTTGGCTCAGAGCAGCTGTCGCGAAACTGACAAGAGCTGCAGAACTCGTTCTCGAAGTTCCTCAAAAAGCGTGTTTAATTAAAGCAAGAAGCTCGTGGCACTCTGGGAACATCTGTGACAGGGTGCAAATGAATGCAAGTATACACGAGTTTCTGAAGTTATCAGCACCGTCTAATAGATTGGTTCTTTCGTGTTGAACATCCTGATGCTAGCATTAGCTATTACTGTATGTATATAATCGTGTCAATGAAGCTGACAAAGCTTCCTATGATGGCTCACCTGAAGTGCTTGCGCAGTCTCAAGCAACTCACTCTCACACGCTCTCTCTCTCTCTCTCTCTCTCTCCAGGCTCCAAGTGTCATCCCATCTACTGCACATTTGTTTTGGGTCTCGCCATGCCACAAAGGAAGCTGCTCACGGGCATCTCGCTGCAAACCTAAAGTCAGCAGCAAGTGCATCACTGTTCCGAAAACGGGCGGATCCACGTTCTTCAGAAAGCTCTGTGCTGGTTTAGCGTAGTTGCCGGGGTTACGCGGTTAATCCAAGGCATCTGCGCGGTAAAAACGGTAAAAATCGAAAAAAAATACCGTTTTCCCCGGGGGGCACCCCTTTTTCGTCTACCATATCTGCGGTAAAAACGGCAAAAAACGATTCGTTTTTAACGTTTTTACCGGGGGGGCGCTTCCTTTTTCAATACCATATCCGCTAAAACAATTTGGATTCTTTTTGTACCGTTTTGATCGAGGGGGCAAACGGGTCTATGTTGTTTCTTAGTTTTTAACGGAGGGTCACCGCTGTTTCTTCTGCCATATCCGCGGTAGGTAAAAATCGAAAGTTTTCGATTCAAGTGATGTAGGCTTTCACTGCCCTGCAAAAGTTAAAAGTCATGAAATTTTGATCAATCACCAAACTCCTCTTGTCGAAAAGGGCATACGCTCCTATATGATAGGAGGAGTGAACCCCACCTGATTATAGGAAGACACCCGGGCTGTAACATTAAACCTTTTTGTTGACAGAGGTCTTCTAGCTTGCGACCTGGTCCCGAGGCATTGTCGCGGTAAAAACGGTCCAAAGTGAAAATTGCTACTTTTGTTGTTTACCTTTTTTTAATAAGAGTCGCTTGCTCTTTTTGCTTCTACCATATCGTTAAAAATCAAAGTTGTGTTATTTTCCGTTTTTGTAGGTGGACTTGTCCTTTTCTTTTCTACCATCTCCGTGGCAAAAACGGTAAACATCGTTTTTTGTTTAATCGTTTTTTTACTGGGGGCGCTCCATGTTTAAAGTTCATATCCGCGGCAAAAACGGTAACAATCGAAAATGTGTTTTTCCGTTTTTACCGGGGGGGGCGCCCCTTTTTCTCTACCATATCCGCGGAAAAAAACGGTAAAAATCGATAATGTTATTTGTTTTACCGTTTTTACCGGGGGGGCGCTCCTTTTTCTTCTACCATATCCGCGGTAAAAACGGTAAACATCGAAAATGTTCTTTTTTTACATTTTTTCCTGCGGGGTCGCGAAAGGATACCCCTTAGCAAAACAACGATCGCGAACCAGCTTAGAGAAAGCTTCCCTCTCAGAGTGCTTTTCAAGGATGCTGTTTTCTCTTCTTCCTATATTGGGCAAATGATTATCGGATCGGATTGATATAGAATGATATATCATAGATTAATAAGTGATCTCAAGCAGATCTCCAGCACCTTTCCAGCGCACCAAGGCAGCCAAGGTTCGCTTGAGATGCAGGAAGGCGGTGGTGCCTTCCCCAGGCATGGACATCAAATGGAGCGAGCCGCCCAAGTACTGTGCATAGAGCCGGCTCAAAGGTAGGCCCACGCCATAGCCTCGGTCTGGCTAATTTTGGCAATACCTGTCTGAGTCCTGTCGGATGGAAGCTTCAGAAAGGTACTACAAACTCAGCTAGACAATGGAGTAGAGGCCAATAGTCACTCAACATCCAAAGCAGTCTAGGAGCCAGCTAGCGGTGTACCCTGATGCTCCCACACATCCGATCTTGTGTCCTCAGGCAATGCTTTTTGACAAGCATTGCTTCTTGCGGAGAGATGTGGTGACGTGAGGTGAGTCAAAAAAGGCAACATGTCGGGTATCTATGCAAATCGTCTGACTTGTGTGCGCCTAGTTAATTGCGGTGCGTGCTGCATCAAATGCAGCTTGCACAAACATGAACTGCCTTGATGCCGGACACTTCACAGCTATGTGCTGAAGCAGTCGAGGGAAGTTGCAGCCCTGCGTCTGCGGTGGAATAGGTGTAGGACCACACTCGCTCTGCAACTTCGAAGGGAATGCCACCTGCCGAGTCTTGAATTCGGATAGCCACCTGCCCACTGTTGGCGCTGACAGTGACCACAATCCTCAGTAGGACAACATTTTAATGCCATGGTGAACCACATGGTGAACCACATGCAATCACAGTGTTCACGGCCAAGGAGTCTCGTGATGCCCTGCATGCTATCGCCACATGCTAAGTGAGTGACGGGCGGGCTTCGATCTCTGCTTGGCTCGAGGAAGTCTCTATGGTTGCCCGTGCACTGTTCTTCAGGAGCTCCAGCACCATGTAGTAGAGATATTTTGGAACATATGTGAAACCTCAGGCAACATACAAATCAATGCCCAAGCGAGAAGTCTTGGGCCAAAAACTCAATCAGCCGAGCCACAATGTCTTCCCTTTCGATTCCCATGGTTTCCAGCACTTGGCAGTGTTTCGACATTAATCTTCACAGTGTTGCCGATGCGCTTGTAGTGCTCCATGCCTTGGCAAGCACGCACGCACCGGTCAGCAAAGCTGCACGGCTGTGCCACGGCTGTGCAGAGCTCCGTGGAGTCAAGCAACAAAGCCACCGAGCTTTCTCGGCCGCCCGGAGGCAAATGACCGTGGGATCACAATCCTTCTCCACAATGCTACTCCCCTGCAAAACGAAACATTTTACAGGGTATGGCAAAGTCATTGTTCACAACAGGGAACAAGAACAAGGCCTCCATGCTTGCCACATAGTGAGATGTGAGCATCTCTGTGCCAATTCGTGAGAGCAGAAACCGGTCTAGCCAAGGCTCCTTAGCAGCTTCAAAACTTGCTCACACGGTCTTCTGCTTGAACCAGCAGGCACAAAGCCTTGCTGTAGTCTCTACATTTACATGAACTGAACATTCATACTTACATACCATTGCACTATGGCAGCACCACTGGAACCTGGCAGTCATCAATTCGAGCAAGGTATGGCATGATGCCAAGATTCCAAGAATGATTCCTGCAAAGTGAGACCTGATGCTGTAGGGAATGTCTTGCCGTGGTTGCTCCAGTGAGAACACAACAGACCACACATCATCATCCAACATGATGATCTATCATGTGCGTTGAAGCAACATCACCTAAGACATAGTACCACAATAGTGCCACAAAAGAATTCATAAAATGTCACAAATGTTAGACACTTCCAGCCTTTCTCTTTAAGCTCCTGCACCGCTTCCATCAACAATGAGATTGCACCACTGAGGCGATGTTTTGTCCGTGTCACGGCCACGGTGAGGTCATGCAAGTCATGGTCCTGTGAAGAAATCTGCAGATCCTACATAGTGCTGATCTGAATGCCCACAACTCCTTCAACTCCTCATCTCAATGTTGATCAAATCAAGTATATAATGGAAAACACAGAGGAGTGACAGGAGTCACAAGTCCTTCAAGTCAATGAGGCGAAGATCACTAAAGCATTGGAAGTAGAGATATCTCAGTTTCACCAAGTCCTGAATGGTCAGACTGGAGAAGGGCGTTTACTTTCTGAAAACAATGATACATAAGAGCAAGTGATGTTAAAATGCTCACGGTGTGGATATGATGTGCTTTGGGTTTTTGTATTTGCACAGTCTACAGTTGGTGTCCTGGGACTCATGCCAGCCGGGAATGTCCTGAAAGAGACAGGAATCGAACGTCCGGATGGCGTTTAGCAGTCGTGACACATGTAGGTTTTAACAAACAAAGGGCAACTGTTGAACTTCAACATGCTGAATCAGTTTTTGCCACCAACATGTTGATCAACTACAGTATCTCGCATCAAAGAAAACCCTCTGATGCAGACGTTGAGAAAGCCTGTCCTCAATCTGCCGTATTCGCTTGGCGAAACGGATGGGTAGCTCTCGATTCGCCAGCTCTGCCACTTGCACAGGTCTTGCGGCAATGACTTGGCAAAGAGACAAAGGTGTGGCACCCTGGTCAGCAAGATAGCATACGTCAGACCAAAGGAACTCCTGGCGCGGCAATCAGGCTGCTATTCTCGAAGTCAGGGAGGGAGGGAGGGAGGGAGGGAGGGAGCGAGGGAGAGAAAGACAGAAGGACATGAACAAAGCAAAGAGGCAAAACACTGGTGGAAGAAATGGACAAAGGCAAGCAAATTACAGCAAGAGTGTCCACGCATGAACTTCAAAAACCGCAAACAAGATACAATTCAAAGAAGCGTTGGATTGCTAAACTGCTTAAGCACCACAATCGAAAGCATGCAAAAACAAACAGCTACTAGATGCTAGATGCTACGTCAGTAGTAGCAGGAGCTCCGTCAGTCGGTGCTGTGGTATATTGACTCCATGAAGTCCACGAGAGAAACCGTGGAGCTGTCGACGCAGCGGCTCGAAGCTCCACGGCTGCAGCCGTCGACAGCGGTGCATATGGCGGTCCCACCGCAGCGTGCAGGGAATTGGAACCCAAACAAGAGCCTGGAGCATCTATTGTAAGGATCTATTTTGGGTGTGAACATACTGAGACGTGAACCGGCCCTTGAGTCGTGAGAGCTTGGCCTCTTGTTGAGTTTTGATTTGAGTTTTCTCTTGTTTTATGACTCCACAGCTTCTGCTTTGAGCAAAAGAAGCTGCGAAATTGTCCAAATTGCATGTCCTGCTAGCCGTTTGAGGGCATCATCGGCAAAAGCATCGTCCACAGCGCAAAAGCACCAAAGTGTCAAGGTGTCGCACAAGCCATGTCTCTCTTTCCGCCCGAGGTGATGTTTCAATGCCTGCAGGTGCAGGGGTGCCGCCTGGTTTAGGCAGTTCAGTGGTAGTTCATCCTGCAGCCTGCAGCAGACGCAGTTCATCCTGAAGCTTGATCCACTCATCGCCCTCAAGCCAATGTGGATACCACACTGTGAGAACTGGCGAGAACTGTTCACTAGGTTCACGAAGGAGTTCTCGGTTCATCTCCAACAGCAGACTTGGTGGCCCTCAAACTGGGCCACTGAGCTACTGCGATCTCTGTTCCGCCTGCGCTGATAGGTTCAAACATAAAAGTCGAAGCTGCTCCAACCTGGGCCCCCATAAACCTTCAAGAGTCGAAAAGAAGGTCTTTGAATGGCTCTATGCATTCACGGCACAACCTCGAAGAGGGCAATGCTCCCCGCAACAGCCACATTGAGCGAGTTCCTAAGCCCATGGCAAAGCAGTGTTACAGGAGGATGCAAAGCTAGTATCCAACCGAATAGCGATGGCCTCCACCATGCCATACTAGCGATGGCCTCCAACCTAATCCGCCCGCACCGAAGGTGCCGAGGCGTTTTTATAAGGCACGCGCTATACCGCAAGTACCGCAAGTATTAATAGCTTTAGCTAGGGGGGGGGCCAATTCGCTCTAGAATCCTGTGTTTTTTCACGTTTTTGGAACCGGCTTAAAGTGCTGGAAGATAAATTCGTGCTAATTTTGCTATCTTGAAGCCTTTAGTGATGCAAGAAATGCAATTTTCTGCTTTGCATCATCTGCATCATCTGGACATTTGGCTGAACAGGTTCCCCTAACGGGGCTCAACATAGCTTCCATATTGCGTAACCACTATCTAACGGACGTGTCTGCGAGATAGTTCAAGTCCGGGTACGTGGCTGGTCAGGAGCAGAGATAAGCAGATCAGGTCCAGGAACGGTAACATTATCTCACGAGCATAGCTCCCATATGGTCGAACATAACCCCAGAAGTCACTATCTCAAGTATGCTTCCCCGAGATAGGTACTTGAACGTCGTAAACATGGCCCAACGAAGGCTCAAAAGGGACTGGAATAGAGTGAAGATATTGCCTAACATAGCCCTAGAAGTCACTATCTAAAGGTAGTGTCTGCGAGATAGGGACTTGAACGTCGTAAATTGGAATAAAAAACACCCCCTAACGTGGCCAAACATAGCTTTCATATTGCCTGACACGTTGGGCCATGTTAAATCCCTATCTCGAAACATGGAATCTATGCTCGGCCACGTTGGGGAGGGGGGGGGCACTTCCGGGGCTATGTTCGGTGGAAATATTGGCCCCTTCCATGCGGTGCGGGCGGTTACCGTCGCGAAGCGACGTGAATAGCGATGGACTTGGATAAAAATGGTCCCATGGTTCTACTTGACTGGACAGTGTAGTTAACATATTCTTACAATCCTGTAGCGACCAATAGCCACCAGGTCTCTTGATGCCCACCGTGGTAATGCACACATGCTCATCGCAGGCCTTTAGAGCACTTGCCGAAACGCCATAGCTTTCATGCCCAAGGACCAGGGCGAGAGGTCCGTCCGGGAACTCGGTGGTCTCCAATTCTTTTGCGTGCGATGTGGTCTCCAAAGCCCAGACCTCGATTCTGAGACTCAGACCACACCCAAATGTCTGAGACTCACGCCCTAATGCATGTGATTCATGTACATGTACGTCTGACAAGCATATAGTAGTTATATACATAAACATGTGTATATACAGCAAAAAGATTCTTCTAATACAATTATGCAACTGCTGATCAAAGAAAAGAAAACCGACACTTTGGATGGGCCTGAAACCCCTCGCGTTGTAGTCGAAGAACAGCGTCTTTCCCAGAAACTGCGAAGCTGCTTGGGACCAAAGCAGCAGCCTCTCCAGCCGATTTCAATACAGCTGGCATTGGTGGTGCTGGAGTAATCCCGCAAAAGACCACAGAGGCACCCACCAGAGCACAACTGCGAAGTAGAGAACCTACATTCCGAGTGGAGCGAATACAATCCAGAACCAGAATCAAAGGAGGTGTGAGAGGCTTGAAAGTGATCCTTTCTGTATCTTGGATGTTTTTCTGAGCCTCTTTCCGCTCTGTCCATTCCGCAGAAGCCTTTTGTGCATCGCGAACCAAACGAGCAACATCATTGGCAACTTGAACTGCACGACCAGGTCGGCAAGCCACTTCCAATGCATGCTTGTTTGATGGGCAAACAAAAGCCTTGCAACACCGCACTGCTGGATACAGTAGTGGATCATGTGGTGGTCGGTCCAAGTCTTCAAAAGTTATTCCATGCTTGAGTAGTTCAAACTGTAATGCTTGATTTCTTGACTCAGCAGTTGCAGATCGTCTGGTCCTTGCTCGACCAGCTATCAGTGGAAAAGTTGCACAAAGACCAGCGACTGGAATCCTCCGTGCATCAGCTTGTACAGGCACTCTGGGTGGGAGTGCCAGAGCACATCTGGAGACATGCGGCAATCTGAAATGTCCCTTGGGATGCACCACCAAGGTGTTCATTTGAAGCTAGGATGCCAGGGAAGACATAGTTATGAGTCATGAGCTTGAGCTTGCGCAATGTGCATCAAATGCTTTTGGGATCAAGAGCGACTTGCGTCCAAGCCAGGTGTGGACTCAAAGGAAAAATGGTAGCTTTGAGCATGACCTCTTTTCTGCTGCCGTCTCAAACACTCTGTACAGCTGTTAGTGTCCAAATCCGAGTCGCAGCACCGATCATTCAGCTCAAACCAAGTCGTTTCAGAGCGTGAAAACATGAGCTGGAGGCTTCTCTGTGGGAAACCGGCGGTAAGCCACTGAATCCTCCAGACTACGCCTCTCTGGCAGGGAATGACTTCCGGCCAAGCCTTACATCAGGCTGCAGTTGGACATGAAGGAATCCAGGCGTGAATCCCACTCATCCACCTTGTTGTTCACAGCCTTCGCTAGGTTGACATATCTCAAGAAAGGACATTATGTTTACATTGCTTTTTTGGGGGGGTAGGCTGGTAGAAGAGGGAGGTAGTAGTTGGGTCGGTAGCTAGTAGTAGCTAGGGAGTCGCTAGTAGCTACAAGAACACTACTACCTAGGACGCAGGATAGCTGGCGCCATTCATTTGGCTCCGGCCTGGTCCATGCGCTCCACAGCATGACCAACCTGCGTTGATGCACCACCAGCCGTACCTTGAAAGGCATCATACCTATAGTTTACAATGCAGACATGCTGAATGATATTACTATTTTATCAAAAAGAGCTACCGCAACCCTTGCGATCACGTCACGGACACTTCGTTGGTCCGCTACCATGCTTGCTTCATTGGCCTAGAAAATGAACATGTGGAATCCAAGAAAAACAGACTTGTTGGCGACAGGGCCATGCAAAGCACCTTCCTGGATCATGATCCATCCACAAGTTACAACAGAAAAACTTGGCTGTCCTGAGATGACTCCAAGGCTTTGCCGCTCCCTACTGCAGGGCCTGGCGTTTCGATTGTCAAGGAAGCAGGGCAAATGGAAGGACTCTTAGTGTCAAAACCCTATGCAAAGCGGTATGATGTGCCTCGAACTCGTTGGCTTCCCACGCTACCCCTCCCACCCAAGTCAGCAGGGAGTAGTTGCTTCCACAACTGAGTTCAGGAGAATCGATGCTATTTTGGCCAAAGCTCTGTCATGATCTGTCATGTAATGTACTGTATATATCTGGACACAACCGGCATATTTGCAGCAAAGACTCTGGTGTGGCTTCCTGCAAGCAGGGACAACAATGCACTTGCAGCATACCACGTTGATGTGCATCAAAGGTTCATGTACAACTGTACGAATTGGCTCCGTTTCTACTTGCCTGATGAATGGCAAAGCCAAAACAGAATCCATGACATGTGCCTGTGTGTGTGCGCGCTAGTTTGTGCAGGATCCTCTACAAAGACATCAGCACCACCTGCCTGCCACCATCAATTCTGTCGCTCTCTGTGGAAAGCAAAAAGTAAAACGGAACGTGGAGTGGGAACAATTGGAAGAACAAACCCTTATCATGTGCAACCAAGCATCTGGCTGCATCTTCTGTGAAGCAAATCCGGTTTGAGTCCAAGCTTGCAGCCAAAAGCGGCGAATGTCGCAAGCCAAGTCAAGCACGATTGATTCAAGGCAAATCTAGATTCCGAGCATCTGGCCCAGCTGCACCTCTGTCATGGTTTAGCCGGCTGTCCTGAAAGTGGCCAAACGTATCGGTTCAAGAGTCAATTTCAACAACTCTCCAACTGTTGCAGATCTGTACATCTGTTTTGCTCATGCCACTGTGTCAACATTCATCTTTTCCCTGGAGCGCAGCGGTGGAACAAAGAGTTTCAAAAAGTTTGCCACCCGAAGAAGTTCAAGAGTTGAGCTACTGAATCGCTCTAGACCCTCGAACCAGAATCAGGCAACAAGACAGACATGTCACCGGCAATTGCTGCTCGCAACATGCGGCTCAATGCCACGCTAATGTCTGCGGAACATACCGCACTGTCCGCACTTCTGTCGGGTGCGCTGACGTGCAAACGTGCTGCGCACGAGACGTCTGAATCGCAGCGAAACATGCTCGCTGGGAAAGTGCGATGCACTCACCAGTTGGACTTCTTGACCTTCTCTTGACCACCAACCATCTCAGCCTAGGAGTCTCATCAATAAGAAAAAGCGAGACTGGGAAAGGTATTTATATATGTACATATTTAGCATGCCGGGGGAAGAAACGAGACAGTCAAACAGTCTTATAAGTGCACCGAAAACCAAAATCAGACAAGGAGAGAAAAGGAGTAGGTGTCATGCAGGGCTCAGAACGTCGGTCTCACAAAGCTAAGACTCAAAAGCAAACGATGGCTCTTTTGGGGTTTCCGTTTTTGCGGCCAACTCCCTCAAAAAGAAAGAACTCAGAACAACTTCTTTCGCTGAATGTCTTTGACTCATGACTTTCTAAGAGCAGCTGTCAAAATGTTTGCTGTGGCTAGCTTAGTCGGCAGCTGAGAGGACAACAGCAGATTCTGTGCCATGTGAAGCGCTTTGCACAAGACATCGGTATAGAGCAGGACGAGATGCGTGGACGGATGTAAGCTCCAAGTTTCGGATGACGACCAGTCTCCTGTGAAATGCTTTTGAAGACCAAGGGTGCGAATGAGCTCGAATGAGCTTCAATGAGCTCTTGTGCTCGCTCAACACGCCACACCCCACATTAATTGCAACGCCTTGTGTCTCAACTTCGTCAGGAGAGCTTTCAGTATCTTTCAGTGAACAAATAGCCCAAAGGCCAAACACAATCAGGCCACGAAGACCAAGCACATTCAAGAAATCACTCTGCATGTCTCCTTCTGTTTGATTTGCTGCGCGTCCTTCCTTCTTGCTACATATTATGAGCTTGGGCTTTGATCTTCCGGTCTATGTGTCCACCACCATGCACTAGTCAGCTTTGCAAGGGGTCACTGTGATACACTTGCAGCGAATGCATTTAGCGCTTGTCACTAGGAGGAGCAAAATCAATTCTACGCCGTAGCTACCAAGCAGACCTGGCATGCAATATCATGCAATGCTTCATGTCCTCGCCTTACACTTGAGTGGGCCATCAACGCTTGTTCCAACGAAAACATCCGAAAGCATCTGCTGATGGCCCCTTGGCTCTCCCAGCCAGCGCTCGTAAGGCAACCAGTGTCTGATGCCCATCCGACCATACCTTAGCGGCCAAGAAGCACCCAAAGCTTTTGAGACATGTTAACGTGTGGCGTTCAAGATTGAATGGAACTCAACAACACTTGCACTACATCAAGGGGACCATATTTTGGTTCGGGCAACTATGCAACGTCTTCTATGTGGTGAAGGACTAGACCCTTAGCAGGCCTTTGGAAGCGAACATGCAAAGTTGTGGGTGACAAATGCCCGGGCGATGTTCGGTCGGAGTGATTCTGAGGGAAAGGCCACGCTCACAGCATAGTTGCCGACCTGAAAGCAGAGATGAAACCACATCTGTCGCAAACTCTGGTTCATGCTCAGTCATTCGTGCGGGCATGATTTGTAGATCATGTCAGGAGCACTGTGTCTTTTTGGCCCTGCTAGTGCTCCGAACAATGTTGAGCCGGTTCAAGCATTGAGCCTGAAGGGTAGCCATTGACAGCAAGCGATTGAGGCATTCACAATGCCTTGACAGAATTACCATCATGGCATCCGTGGCTGGGATCTCTTAAAATAAGTTTACATGTTTATGTCTAGAAGTAGCCTATACAGTGCATTGAATCGCTTCTGAGATGACTGGGCATGAGGGTGCGTCCCCCGCTCTCTTTGTACACAGGAACCCACATGCAAGAAGCCATTACCTCCAATCTTCAAAGAAAATGGCTGAAAGTGCGTTCAAATGGCGACTTGTTCCTAGAAGGTGAGCATTATATTGGGGTTTCAACGTTGTGAAAGTGGCCAACTTTCTTGGAAGATTGAGAAGGTCCTTGGCAGCATCATTACTCCGTCATTGTCTTGCATAGGCATAGGCATCATAGGCATGCAGAAAGCCTGCAGCTTGCTGAATTGTTGCAATCCTCTAGCTGCACAGTTCAAGGTCTGCAGAGCCAAAGGTGCATGGCATCCTGACGAATAGGAAACCATTCAGCTGCTTTTCGCAGCTTCCTATTGCGCAAATTCATCGAAACACTCCTGCTTTGGGCTTTTGAAAGGCCGCCATTCAACATTTCAAGTGCAAATCAACTGCTTTCTGATAATGACGTGTATCTTTCCAGAGATATCCGGAGGCTCTTTGAAGGGCGACTTCGCAATTGAGAAGCCAAGGAACATCAAATTGATATGTACGCGATGAGCTGGTTTCAATCAACTATCATCGCATCCTGGCTCTTTGTCCAAGGTTGTGCCTGCTTTGGCACCAACGAAGGTGCAGAGGCGAAACGACGGTGCAGAGCCTCTTCGACGGGGCGAAGAACTCCGCAAGAACTATGCTCCTCCAAGAACTCCGCACCCGTTTGGGCCTGACATTCTCTTCTGGCGTTTGCATAGCAATTGCAAGCCCCAGGGCTTTTTGAGGATGCGTGCAATCGTTTGTGTATGACAAGACCGATGCTTTGATGTGATTGCTGCAGTCAGCCTAAATAGATAGCTTCCAGACAACGCTGCCCAAGATTTTGGCACTGTATAACGCCACGTTGTGGAGAATCAAAGTAGCTTTAACTGTGATACTCTTTAACATGAAATGTTGGCTAAAGAAAGGACGCTACTAGGAGCAAAGGGCATCGCTACTAGGAAGAAGGACGCTACTAGGGGCTCAACATTTTGACCAGGCTACTAGTTGGAACCTCACACTAGAGTCTAGAGTCGTGACGGACTGGTGGCTACCACAAAACTGCATAAGGCACGAAAGAAGAGGCACACTACTGTTTAACATTATATATACATCAACTTGAGGCCGAGGGTAGGTGACGAAAGCTAGCAGGGGTGCATCCGGACTGGTGGGACATCAAGCGGAGTGAGGCAAATGCTCGTGAGGTAAAACGTTGTGAACATGTAAGACACACAAACAGCAATGACAGCCAACCTTAGAATTGAAGTCCCCGATAATTAAGGAAGTGTGGCTGGACTTTGCCACACTGTTCGATGCATCCGATGTGTTCACGAACCTGTGAGCTTGTTGAATCTGTTGCACCGTATCCCAAAACCTCCACGGAGGAGTATGCCATAAGAGGTGGCCAAGAGGTGTCCCAGAGGCAAAACAAAGCTGCTTGCATGATTTGTTTGGTTTCTTCTATCGATGTCGATGTCATGAACATGTGAGCTTGTTGAATCTGTTGCACCGTAGCCCGGAGGAGTTAAGCCAAAGTGGATGCCATAAGAGATGCCCGAGAGGTGTCCCAGAGGCGTCCGAGGGGGGAGTTGAACCCACCGGGGGGGGCCCTACATATGAAGTTTTCACGTGATTCGGCGATCCTGAGGATTCCAGCCCCTCACTTGCTAAAGCAAGGACAACTCCAGCTAGCTGGTGCTAGCTTTCGTGACAAGGAAACGGTAAAGCATGGCAAAGCTGCCAACCAAGTCGCTGCGAGCTGTCTTGGCACCTGCAGCGAATCGATTTCTGCAAAGGATTTGACAAACTTTGGCGCCACGCCAACATGAGCAACTCATTTCAATTCAGCATCCTCAAGGCCGTTGTGGTCTTGTTTCTACTAGTAACAAGTGCCATACTAGTAGTAACAAGAAGCTATTAGAATTAAATTTATGGATTCAAAAACCATGTGTCCAAGTGGATCTCCAAGTCACGACGGGCTTTGTTGGCAGCTTGCGGTACCAGTGCGAGTGCTGCGCGCGCTGCCCGCCGCACACAAGCCTCAGCAAGGTGAGTTCGGAAGCTCTTTGGAAGACCGAAGCCCAAGGCTTTTTCCCGAATGCGTAGCGAAGGGTTCTCGTTGAACCGTTCGCAACCGTTCGCAACCGCTTGCAACCGTTCGCAACCGTCCGCGGTAGAGCGCTAAGGCGCTGCCATTGGGGGAAGCTTTTGCAAGTGACTACTCATGGATGTGTCACGTGTCAGTTTGCGCCGCTATTCCATTGTGATTTGCATGAAAAAGACATGTCGCGCAAGTAACGTGATGCGTTTCGCTGCACAGGCGCAGCGTTTGGGGAGTGTGCTCAGAATGGGTCGAAATCATTCCAAACGTGTGGTATGGTGCAAATTTTGTTGAAGCTCACATGAGATGACATTGTTACTTTTCGTGGCAGGCGCAGGACTTTGTGCGGGTTTTGAGGTGTGGAAGTGGGATTCTCGTGGCAGGCGCAGGGAATCGTGAGGTTGCGAGGTGTGACGGAGGTGACATTTCGTGGCAGGCGCAGTACTTTGCTCGCGCTAGACGTGTGGACGTGGAAAGATTCGTGGCAGGCGCAGGGAATCGGGAGGTTGTGAGTTGTGGTAGAGGTGAATGTCGCAGTCACATTGGGATTGGCGTGTGAGCGGGCGTCGTTTGGAGGGGCTGGAATCACAAAACTGCTTGGCAGGGCTGCGTGATGTGTGTGCTCCGATGGGTGTTTCCGCTGGACTTTTGGAGGAAGTCTCGTGCGAAACGTACAAGTCCCACAAGAGTGTCCCGTACGAGTGTCCCACAAGAGTGTCCCGCATGTCCCACAAGAGTGTCCTGCAAGAGTGTCCCACAAGAGTGTCCCGTATGAGTGTCCCACAAGAGTGTCCCACAAGAGTGTCCCACAAGTGTGTCCCACAAGAGTGTCCTATAAGAGTGTCCCACAAGAGTGTCCCACAAGAGT